GTCTCCTTCCATTTGACAAAACTATTTTCCCCAGGACCAATGATCTGTATCCTGCTTACAAGCACGATAACCAAACTCGCGGTGGCTTTGGTTTGGTCTCTGCAACTGGAATGTACCTTCCACTTGGCACGTGGTTTTTCCGAAATTTCAAACAGGAATTTTTGTTCAATGGAAAGCGCGTAAAGTGCGTACAGAGAAACGTTGCCCCGGCTAGGAGGCTGACCCTACCATTACAAAAGAGTGACTGGATAAAGTGAGTCACCCTTCTGGCCTAGCCAACTGTTTGTAATTTAAACGGTTCGCCATGTTTGGCAAGGAAATGTGTGAAACGTTGCCTCTTCCAGGGAGGCTCGGATAGGAGGTTGACCCTTCTGCTCGAAACAAATTTTCTTCATACAAGCGGGGCCTAAATTTTAGTTCTTTACATTAATTTCCATAGTCCAGCTGACGCACAATTTTTTTGTTTTTTGTTCTACAATGTGGAAAACTGAAATTAAAAAATACATTGGAACCCCGTTAATGCGACCAGCGTTGGGCCATAAAACCCCGGTCGTGATACGGAGGTGGTTGCATTAAAGAGGTCTTCAAAATAATAACATGACTCGGAGATTTTCTCGTCTGGGTGGAAAGACTATGGGAGGTAAGCTGAGGCAAGAGGTGGTCGTATAAACGGGGTGGTCGCAAGGCGGGGTTCCTCTGTATATAAACAGAAACATGTTCAGAATAAACATGTTCAGATTAGAAAAAATATATACAGTGAAAGATAATTGCAGAATGTTTTCGAAAACTGTTATCCAAAACAATGGAACTTGCATATGCGAGAGGAAAGACAGCCGTCTGATAGGTAATAACGCGGTGAAATAGCTAGAGATTGAAGCCTGAAGTCAGTCAAAGAAACATACAAGGTAACGGGGAGAAGTTGACGTGAAAAACGATATTTTTGGGCTTATTTAGTATTGTATGGAAGCAAACTTTAAGAAAACTTAGGGGAAAAAAACATGATTTGGATTGTTAGTAGCATAATATGCTACTTCTGGCAAGAACATTAAAAAAAGGCGTCGCTCAAATGGTTAGATTGGGAAGCCCGTGAATACTGTCATGCAACACTTTTGACCAGACTTTTATGACCAAAGAGGTATCCGCAGCCCGAAAGTTTCACTATCAAAATCGCAGTTTTTGTGAGACCTATAACTTTTGGATGGCAATGGATGTAAAAGTGTGACTGCGGAAAAGAAAGGCCATGTTCTGTTTGAGGTTATTTTCACGCACCACACGTACCTTTCCTCGAGTTTTTGGATCTTCGGTTGATTAGCATGGGACAAGGCGCAATGCCAGTTGACTAAAACGGGAAAACGCATTTGAGGTCACAAAAATTATCGTTTCAGTACAAATGTCTTTAATAAATGTGCGGTTGTGAGTTCAGTTTCTTTTGGAGAGCCCAGCCATCGTGACTTGTCGAGCAACAAGTAAAATTTATTCAACTTCAGAAGGTTCGTGTGAAGTACAAATTTAATTACCCAGGCCAATTCTTACAAATGTTTTAGCACAATGTTTAAATAACAAATGACTTGAGTTTCAGGTAAAAGCAAGGTGTAGCACATGCCTAAAATATAAAACGCAACTTTCAGCCTAAATTTAAATTTCGTTTAGTCGAAAAAGAACCCAAACTACAATAAATTCACTTTCATCGATACGTTAAAGAACACGTTTGTGGAACGTAGCACCCAATATACGTCATTCAGCTCCAGAAAACAGCCTGCAAATGCTGGCGGTGACCGTATAAAATTCACAGAAAATGCCTCTCTGGCACTTCAACAGACCGTATTGACGCATGCGCATACAAAATGCCCTCCTGTTGATCCAGACAAGCCGTGATGGAGACAATAGCCGTGGTGTACGAACTCCTGAAAAGAACTCAGGAGAAACTGTTCGCCGATTGGGCACAATGGTACAAAGAATTTTTGTGCCCAATCAGGAGCCAGCATTCGCTTGAATTTTTGGAAATAGTTTGCTGAGAGTCGGTACCCAGGGTGTTCGATTCCGTAAACGCTAAGATACCAACACGAGACATCAAATAACTATCTGACTCCAATTAGCTCACACAACATGACAATCCAGTTCCTTTTCTTCGGTTTAATCACATAAACAGGAACAACTTTCTACAGACATTCTTGTCTTCTTTAATCTCGCACGTGTTTTACAATCTCATGATCCTTTACGTTTCCAGTTCTAGACCATTACATCACTTAGCAACTATTTTAGCATGGTTGTCACGCTATTCAAAAGCAACTGTCACGGAGCTTTCTACGTGTTTTCCTAAACTTAGAAAGTTTGCAAATCTTAAATGGTCTTAGATCTTAAATCTTTCTGCTTTCGACATTCTCCACCTTGCAACTTGCATTAGCATGTTGCAACTACATTTTCAATTGTCCCTAAAGCGGTGAGAACGAACAACTTCTCTTCCAGTTCGGGTTCTCCTCGGAGGTGAAACTTCCCATTC